ACTAACTCTTTTCCCCTAAAGTCTATGTAGGGCAGCCATCAACAGTTCTTGTACAGTCTTACACGTCTATTGTCTGACATTGTCCAATCTGTTTTTGACTTGGCATCCTACCCTACGCCCACCTTCAACTTTGCCTTGCATGATGGTTTTGCACAGGCTGTCGTGCCTTGTAATATGTCCAAACCACGCCATTTTTCTTTGTTTGACCGGGGGTAAGAAAAGTAATCCGGTGTCCCTCAACACTTTCAAACCTTTTCCGCATAAAATCATTTTTTTGTTCCCAATAGAAAATGCCAATTAGTTTCCGTATGCATTTGTTCTCAAACGATTGGATCCTTCTGTTTGTTTCTGCTAACAGTGTCCAAGTTTCACATCCATATAGGAAGATGGAAATTACTAGCGATTTCTAAAGTCTTTACTTTGTTTGAAAGCTGATTTTGCTTCTCTTTATTTCTTTATTCTTATCAATTTGGCCATCACTGTCATGGCAACATATAGATCACCATTTGATAAATAAGCAAAATAATATGAACATAACACAAGTTTTAGTAGATAACATCAGAATTTTATATGGGACAAAGTGTAAAGAAAGACTCCAAATTCTGAAGGTTGTTCTAATACAATAGAAGCAGCCAATATTAAATAAGGAACATTTTTCGATAGGGGGGCCGTATATTGAAGCGTGTTAAAAAAAGACACATAAAAATTCCATTTTGACCCTTTAAATGACGTCGTTCTGAGTGACTTGAAATTGGTCACATAAAACGAGAGAACACTGGAATTAAAAAAAAAATAACGAAAAAAAAATTGCGTAAATAGAAATATAACGATCCTTGAAAACGAATGTAACATTATTCGAAAGTACTCGGAAAAAATAATATAAAATAAATACCTATAAAATACACCTCTGTGAAAATCTAATAACAAGACGGTATCGGTAAATTTTAGATATAAATGAAAATACCTTACTTCGTATTTTGCATGAAGATTTCGGATTTTCTTTTATGAGATTACTTCTAATAACTACGTTGGGTGAAAATTGCAGATCTTGCAATATTAGGCCGTAGTGTTGTCTGAGAACTCGAAATAAATGATTCTTTAGCTACAATAAGAAGAATGTCATTCTTTCACAATGGGTCTTGTTACCTTAAACGCCACTTTTTTTTTATTTTGAAGATATTTACTCCACCCAGACTATTTAATAAACAAAAGGGGAAAAATTCTATTGAATCGCATCTTCGCTGCTTCCAGCAATGTTTACCTTTAATTTTCTCTGTAACAGATGTTTTCCTTCTTTACCAAATATTCGAATTTGCAATGCAAACATTTGACGCGACAAGCGAGTTGATTGTATTATTAACAAATTGTGTCTTACAGTTTGACGAATAAAAAAAAATATGATTTTTTTTTTTACAAATGCTGGCTATAAAACTTCTAGGTAGATTTGCTTGATAAATGAGACAGGTGCGTATTTGTCACAGAAGTCAGTGGTTGGAGCGACTCGAAAAAAAAAGAAATAGTATTTCCATCGCTTGATTTTTCGACCAACAGTGTAAGGCAAGCCGGGCTGTCGTATTTCAACACTACCACTGTACCCTCCTCTTGCACTAAAGAACGAAGACCGGTGTATGCCGGCGTCAGCGCGTTTGTTTAATTGCCACCCAATGATGGCGGGATGTGATACGAGGTCGTTTTGAATGTGTAATGTTCATACGCATAAATATGTGAAATGCCCATACGCATACATATGACCACTGTTAAGCTGGCGTCAGTGTAGGCCTTTAATTTTCGTCTATCTCAATAAACGAGTGTTCTCTCAAGGAGACCCTTTTTCCCTGAACGCCTATCAGGATTTATGTTCACCCTATCTCGTATATACATCCCATCGGTAAAGATACTGGAAAATAGTCGGTTCCTTGTAACTCTACACTAAGTACATGACTCTCACTGCTTTAATCTAGCTTTAGAAGCCCCAAATCAGTTCCAAAATGGGGTACTGCTGCCATATCTGAACTGGAGATGCCAATTTTGATAGAGTTGAAGAGCTTCTAAGCGGCCTTGTGCGTGATGTATTTTTCCTACCATACAATAATTTTCTGACAGCCGAAACGTTCACGCCTCTTGCTACTCTATCGCTATTTCCATAGAAAATGTTAGCTGCATTCATTACTTCTACCAATTCTAAGTCTCACAGCTATGACCCTCCACGCCACGTACACTAAAGCGAAAGATCTCTATTCCCTTCGTGTTCCATTACTAATGAGTAAGTTCCATTCGCATAACTCCTTTCAACGAACAGCTTCTATGTGGTACGTACTCCCGAGGGGATACTTCCAGACCACTAAATCTTAACCTGTTCAAGTTCATTACGTTTTCTACATATCCTCATAAACGACACGTTTTACCTCTTGCTCTTACCGCTCACATATCAACCTCCTTCAGTAAATATCTACCTCAAGTGGCTCTTGTGCCCTATAAAGAGTAATCTTTAGTAAAAAGCAAAAAAAAATCTCTCTCTTCAGCGCAATGAAGGAAGGTTGGCGGATGTTTGTACAGCAGGACAATGGTCGTGGTGACTGGGCAACGTTTGACCTTGATACATCTGTTCGTGTATTAAACCGACCTTCTGTCACATTCTGCCATAATGGGGTGACTGATAGACACACCAATTTAGATTTTATCTGGAGTAAGCAACAACTGAAAAAAACGTTTTGTATGCTAGGCTATGCTCTGTATAATATAGCTGTATTTCTTGCTATATTTTGGAAATCATGGAAGCATATTTTAAATTTATACACCCTTTAATTGATTATTTAATTAGTAATTTTTTAAAGTTATTTACAACTGTTGTGGCAAATTACGATGCTACGAAAATGATTTTTGTGCTTTTACGAAAAGAAACATCGGCCAGTATTTCTATTTTCTTTCAAGACGACAAATATACGAAGTCTGTCTAAAAAGTAACGTTGCTAATCTTTTCTTTGATGTGAGAGGCATCATCCACAGTGAGTTCTTGCCACAGGGCTAGACGATAAATCAGCAAATTTAAAAAGAAATCCTGCAGCGTTTGCTTCGCACGACGGTTGTGGCAGGACAAATCGTGGCTGCTTTACCACGACAATGCACCTGCTCACAACGCCGTGAGCACCCAGAAGTTTCTGCCTGAGAAGAACCTCGGCGAACTGAAACAATCTCTTTCCTTGATCTTGTTCCGTATGACTTTTTTTTTCATTTCCCTCAAGTTCAAGGGATCATCAAGGTGACCCGTTTTGGAGTGGCAAAGGCAATCAAGAGGGCCGTCACGGCGGAGCTGAGGGCATCAAACAATCATTCCAGCTGAGTAGAGTAGCGTGAAAAAGAAAGGAGGAATAGTTCATTAAACTCGAGAGGGATTACTTTGAAGAGTAAACCATGTAGTTTGACGTTTTGAATTTAAATAAATTGTGTAACTATCACCCCATGAGCCCTCTACCAGGTGGCCTGGCTCATAGCCTTAAATATTCTACGATGGTGTACTTCAACAGTTGATTTAATCAGTTGATACTAAGCTGATTAATATTCGGATTGATCTTACTTCGTTTGGCTATACAGCATTTGACCCTTATCTGTTCCTTGTAAGTTGTCTTGTTAATTGTTTGTAACTAATTGCTCTGTGTTTTTTGTATGTATCCGTTAGCACCGGATACTGGTGCTGAATAAATATATTAAGCACTCATCCTTCTCTGTGTATCATTCACCTCGAAGTTACAACAGTTTAGTTCCGTTAAATTTCAGACGGACCACTTATAAATTTAAAAAAAAATACCACACCATATTCAGCTAAAATAATTTGAACAAATCAAATGGCGTCTCAAAATTCTGTCAAGATACGTACGTTCAAGGGAAAATAAACTGGTTATTGAGTAACAAGCACATTAATTTAAACTACGATAATGTTTTAGACTTACGACGGATAATGATTATTGATTGTTTCTTTTAGTTCTCGATTCTCAAAAGTTATTTAATAACAGCCCAAGCGCTATTAATAATAGAAAGACAAAAGCAATTTTGGATAGATAATTGATAACTATTCTCGCTAGTACTATAATGTGACCTCCTGCCAAAAGTTGGTATTCATTTTTGGGAGTGGAGTGACATCTGGTGTCGATTTAAGGAGTTATCCACCCGAGTTATACATAATGGAATACAGATGCTACTTTTCAGGTAATCAATATTTCTTTGTTACAATATCAATGAGATATATGTATATACGACAAGAAACATACACAAATATAAAAACACCTTTTTTATTTGTGACTAAATATGTATTTTCCAAGATACAGTTTAGATATAGATTATTTTTTTATATTAATTGCATATGCGCAAACTCTTTTCGATACTTGTTTCATATTCTCATATGCACCCATAGTTGTCTCCTATTCTTTTATTCAATTTCTTACCTGACCAGTCTTCTTACATATCTTCCTCATATCATTCTATTTTTTTTTATTCCGTTGAGCTAGCTCTAACACTCAAGAGTCTATCACGCCAACCATCACAGTCCTGTATGAAGGTCGGAAGATCATTAGGGTTATATTCTGTGTGATAACATATTTGGTCAATGTAGCTGATTGCTGGGAGACCATCCTGTCTTGTCCCATGGCTAGCTGCCCAGAGCACCCGCAATTTCTTTTGTTCGCTAGAAGTCTTCTACAAAGTGCATTGCACGATTGTAAAAATATCATGGATGTATCCATAGAACTGTGATTTAGTTGGAAGTTGTCTCCAAGAGATGTTTATAGCTCTCAGCATTCGAGTATAGGTTTTATCAAGCTTAGACTCAAGGGTTTTAGTTAATCTTTAAGCAGTGGCACCATACATTGAAACTGTCTCTGAAATGGCGTGAAAGATTCTTCTTTTCCGGTTGTTTAGTTGATAAGATTTTCAGATTACATTCGGTCATTGCCTCCAATTTTCATAGATTTCCATACATATCTCATATTCCCTTATTTTTTTATAAGTTCATCATATTCCCATATTATTTTTTATGTTTGCGACATATTCTATGCTTCTTTATATTTGTGTCATAATCTCATATTCTTTGCGCACTTGCGTCATATTCTATTCATATTCGCATATTCCTTTACGTAAGATTCTCATATTCAATTTCATATTGCGTCATATCATTATATTCTGTCTCTTACACACGTCATATTGTCATATTCATTTTCATATTTGTACCATATTCTTTTATTCTTTTTCATACATGTATCACATTCTTTTATTATTGTTCATACTTACATCATATACACTTAATCTTTTTCATACATGCGTCATATTCTCATATAATTTCTTGTGCTTGAATCACATTCTTTTCATATTTTTCTTTCTTGTATCATCTTCTCTTATTCTTTTTCATACTTGCATCATATTTTCTTATTCTTTTTCATACTTGTTTTATATTCTCTTATTTTTTCATACGTGTCTTATACTCTCTTAGTCCTTTTCACACTTGTTTCAAATTGTTTTATTCTTTTTCATACTTGTAGCAATTCTCTTATTCTTTTTCATACACGCGTCATATTCTCATATTCTTTTTGTGCTTGTATCATATTCTTTTATTCCTTTTCATACTCGTATCATATTCTCTTATTCCTTTTCATATTTGTGTCATATTCCTATATACTTCTTCATACTTGTATCACATTCTTTTATACTTCTTTCTTGTTTTCGTCAGATTTGCATATTCTTTTATTTATTTGTGTCATATTTTCCTAATCTCTTTCGTACTAGTCTCATATGTATTATTCAGTAATTTCCTTCATTGCAATTCTTGCTTGCCACAGTTATATCTACATTGAAAATTTACACTTTTTAAATATATGTCATTTCATCTAAATTAGATATACTTTTTTCCTCTTATCTTTTGTTCAGCCTCCCCTGCACCTGATAAATAAAAAGCGTACGACAGAAGATGGGAGAAATATTGCCACGACATTCCTTGTTTCTTGCTTTGAAACAACCTAGACTAACTGATATCATTTAGAAAACAACCTCAACCTTCTTCATACATAACCGATGGGTTTTTGTTTCTTTCTTTTTTATCTTAAATTCCATCTACAACTTAACATTTATTGTCTTGGCCTATTTCCATTACTCGAACACATGAAACCCACATCTGTTCGAAAGTCGATAAACTCATTCCGTTCTTTTTTCTTACCCACTAAAATGTTCTTAATTTTTTAATGTATTTTCACGTCAAGGCAACAAATAATGGCTACTACTACGTGCGACAAATAAAACTACTAATATCTTGTTAAGGTTGGGGTGTGAGATAAGAAAACGGGAAAATAATGCTGCGGAGTAGTCAAATAATTACTATCAATGAAATATTAGTCACAGAGATATGTTGTTATTTATATTAATATTCAAATGTGCGGATAGTGTGACAGTTATCGGAAAGGAAAATGGAATTGTCGAAGTGAGTTCAAATTCTGGTCGATCCACTTTTGTTCACGTTGCGCTAATGTCCTTGGACGAAACATTAATCCGTCTTCCTTCAGCATATGGATTAAAGAGTAAGGCAACCAACCAAGGAAAAGGAGAACCCAGAAACCCTGAGAGGCATAGATTTCGACAGGATATCTCGAGAGAAACATCTACGGATGTAGTACATGTGGTGTCCTTTCGGAGTTACGGGGCTTGTAGCGTGCTACAGAAATTACTGAAGGGGCTATCTATTATATATAAATTTAAAAGACGCATTTCGTGTGGAATGTTATGCTAACTCCTGTGGAGGGCTATTTTAGCATCTAGCCCAAGAATAAAGGGCCCAGCATAGAAAACGTCAATGATAATTTTGGAGAAATAACTTTTACTTCCTCAATTCACTTCATGGAACTATAAGACCAATATGGGCTGGAACACCGATTGGGTTCGAAAGTCGCAGAATCCCTCAATTTAACTCTGATTCTTTGCCATTTTGAAGAAATAGAATTGATTCCCTCAATTCACAAAGTTTTGTAGACATTTTAAACTGAATTTAAAACATTTTTTTTAATTCACAAAGTTTTTCTGTTACGTTAAAATCAATATAAATTTTAAAAAAATTAAATCACTAATATTTTTCAGTTAATTTAAAATATTAATTTTTAACTGTACTCTCTTCATCCGGTGACAAATGGATGTTCAAGCGCCTGATGAAGGGTAAATTTTAGCCATACGGGCAGAGACAGAATTTGCCGTTAAAATAAACAATTTAAATAATTTATTTAGATGTAATAATCATAATTTATCAACTTTACTTGTATTAATTATTGACTCGCGACAATACATCGTAATTAATTTTCAATACAAAAAATACAGATAAGCTGCCGAAAGCTGCTGGGATAATCTTAAGGATTTTGTTTAGAAATAACCACATTCTTCAATTGGAACGGAGCTAAACGTACATACATATGTAATTTCAGCTTTTTTTCTTTTATGCGAAGTGTGACCCAGGATTTTTACGGCCATGTCTCTCCATGATATGTTATAATTTCTAGCACATTGCAATATTTCTTTTATTGTCTTTCTCATTGTCTGTTCTACTATTGTTTTAGACGAACTCGTTAGGTAGTTTAATCGCATTTTGTCACCGCTCTGTTTACCTTCAATATATCAGGTTAATGTTAAAATTTCCATGCTCTCTTTTCTCATTATATGCTCTAGAAATGTCAACTCTCTTTCTGATTGTAAGCATAACTGTCATTTTAGTTTCCGTTTTCCTTAAAAAAAATTTCGATATTCACATGTTCCTTTCAGCATCTTTCAGTAGAACCACATTTCTGTTGCTTCAAGTCTCTTCTTAGTCTGTGAGGAAAATGTCCAGCATTTTACTGCTATATAGAAAGACTGATATTACGTAGCAGTTCTGTAATCTTTTCTTTGTTTGCAACTGTATTTCTCTTTTTTTTTAATACTTTGTTTAGCTTTTGGAAGAAATCTTGTGCTATTCCAATGTGGCTTCAGATTTTCCGTGTTCAGATGTTCTGCGTTCATTCAAAACACTTCCGAGATAACTCCATTTCGTAGCTCGGATCGTATTACATTACATCTGATACGAATTTAAGCATTCAGTACGCAGATAAATCACAATGTTATAGAGTCCAATAAATTTGAATAAACTCAAGTCGTAATCGCCATTTTACTCTATATTCCAACAAAGCTGGAAAAGAGAATCATTCATCAACTTATAGGCGAATGAATCTATTGATTTACTATTATTACTCAAACAAATTTTGTCAATTTTTATTGTGTAATTAACGATGTAACACTTGCAGCAAAAGAGATTTCTATTGGATTTGTTTTTATGTATCACTGAAGGATTTATTGTTACGGTTTATCAATATTCTGTTGGTTATGAAAAGCCAGAAAAATATTTTTACATTGTAAGAATTATTTAAAGATAATAATGATTTACTTAGTTCCACTAATAAACCCAAAGTTGTGTCAAGAAAAGTTGGATTCATATTATTCCCAAGTTTATTGGCTTGTGAGTGAATATAATGAACCCGACTGAAATTGGAACACGGCCAACCGATTTCCAATTTTGAGCCATTATCCATTGCACCTCCCGCACATTACATCTGATAATACTTTACATTTTTAACAATAAAATTGATAAACCAAAACCGAAATCAATTCTGAGTCTACATAATAATAATCTAGATAAATAGACAGATATTATTCTTCTTTTATGTGCCGTTGGCGATTATAATTCTCCACAGTTTCCTGTCTTTTACTAAATTTTTATTGTGTATTTAATGATGTAATACTAACAGCAAAAGTTTACGATTGCAGTTGCTTGTATGATTCACTCAATTATTTATTTTTACGGTTTATCGACATTTTGCAGGTTATGCAAAATCAAAAAATACTTTTTTACGTTGTACGAAATTTTTGGAGATAATAATGATTTACTGATACAAGTCCTATTAATTAACACATAGCTGGGGGAGAAGAGGTGGACTCATACCATTCCAACGGTTCTTTGTGCCTAACTGAATATAAATAACCTGGCTGAAATTGGAACCCGGCTCTTCGATTTTCAATTTCGAGCCATTATCCATTACACCACCCCCACATCTGATGCAATTACTTTTTGAAGAATATAATTCATAAAAAAATGGAAGACATTTATGTGTCTACATAATGATTATATATATATATATATATATACATATATATATATACATACACACACACGTATATATATATATGTGTGTGTGTGTGTGTGTGTTGTATGTTTTAATGAAAACATATTTCAAATCAGTTAATTTATAGTATATATATATATATATATATATATATATATATATATATATATATATAACATTTCTCAGAATAAACCTGTAGAAAAAAACATTATGTATAAAAGAGAATTTAGCAAACAATATGTATCTAGAACAATTTAGAAAACGCTATTGTATTCATATTGTCAACTGAACAATTACTTGACTTAATTTTTAGTTGGCAATATGAGTACAATAAGTTTTCTAAAATCTAGTTGCTATGGACATTTTGTTTGTTTTTTTAATAGTTACTTTGTTTTCAATAAATTCATTTTGTTTTTTGCCTTGAAAATATCTACATTGGAAAAAAGCAGGTCGGCTAATAATAGTTTTCGTATAGTATTTTACCGATATATATATATATATATATATATATATATATATATATATATATATATATTCTTCTATGTGTCAATAGTGATCATAACTATCCACAATTTCCTGTCTTTTCGCACTTATTCACTGCCTTCTTCTATCCATCTTGCCTCCAATATGTCTTCTGATATTCAGTGTACGTTACATTTCCACTTTCTCTAAAGCTTCACGTAATATTAATAATCGTTTAATAATGCAAAATGTGAAGAGGCCTGTAATTAAGCAATTCTGTTTCTTTTCCTCTCATTCTTCCGTCGAGTTATATTAATCAAGGTTGATTTTAAAATTTGCAGGAGTGAGAAGTATCAGGAACATGGCTGATGTTTTAAAGGGAAGTAACAAAACAGTTTTCATTGTTTTGTAACAAGGACGTCGTTGCTCGTCCTTCTAAAATATTAACGGGTACATATTTGATGGGATTTTTCATCGTGTATTTCTCCTAATAGCATTTTCAATTGACGTCCCCGAAGGGAAACGGCAACAACGAATAAAATGTTTTTATATCTATAAAACATTTGCTTATTCTGGAAGTATGAATTTATGTACAATATATATATATATATAGTTGAAGCTATGAAATTACGTACAAAATCATTAGATTTCGGCATGAAATAACCCAGAGATGTTGATATGCCGGTTAACAAAACTCAATGGATAATCATTCAACTATATATATATATATATATATATATATATATATATATAAAAGGCTCCAAAACTAATATTCCATGCTTATAATTTATTACACTGATTTACTATTTCCTATAGGTATCTGATATCTCCTTTGCTAACGGTAGCTTTCATAATGTGTACTTCACTAGCCAATAATCTGACAGCGTTTTGAAAAAACGACAGACAGTCTAACAAGCGGTGATCCTGCGTGCTGTTACAAACTTCCGTTAGGGAGACCATGCCAAGTATATTTGAAATTAGCGAGATCGTACATGTTCTCTTCATGGTTAAACTTTCGTTGTTCTCCCAGTTCATCAGGCACGAATTATTACTTAGTCATAATTTGTACCTGAGAAGTTGATAACGAAACTTTAAGTTGCACTTCCAACGTAGGTATAT